GGCTTGTAAAAAAAAAATCTCTATAGGTGTGGGGGATAAGTTAGCAAATTGGATAGAAGAGTGGCTGGATAGAAAAAAAGCAGAGGGTCAAACTAGATTAATGTCACAAGTGGGGTACCTCAGAGCTCAGTCTTTTAGCAGGTTAGGAGTCATCTTCAGCTAAGACAGTTTTATTTTTCTAACAGGATGGTTGGCCTTTGGAATAGGCTTCCTTTAGATGTGGTGGAATACATTACCTTCAGATTTTGTGGAGGCAGTAAATTTAAGTGAGTTTAAGAGAAAGCTTGATAAGTATATGAATGATAAGGGCTGGCTCTAATATTTTTTTTCAGATTTATTTATTAATAGTTTTAGTTTAGTTTAAGAAGATGGAACAGGTGAGATGAACCAATAGGTCTCATGTTGTCCCATAGATTCATGATAAATCTATTTTGGTATTTTAAAAATGTAATTATTGAATTAAGACAACACTAGATAGCTTGATAAGAGTACTCACTCTTTTACTGTGAAGATTCTCCTGTTCTTGCCACCCACCACTGGCTATTAAAAAAACAAAGCTTTTAAAAAATCACAAATTAATAGAAAAATTAACTACAACACAAAACTTGAAACAAAAACATCAAACTACTAAAGATAAAATCTGTAAGGCACAAATATTTAAAATTTGGAACTTCAGTTCCCCAATTTTGAAATTAAAAGAATAAAACTATATTTTTACCACATATAATGCATGAAAACACATACATTTATTAATATAATATATGTATGTATATACAATAAATCAACAAATTCATTTAACCACACTCTTATTCTTGTGTTTCACAGTGTACAAAGCAATGACCTATACATGTACACACCTGATCAAAAAAAGTTTTAACTAACTCATAACAATACTCTCCTCAGACAGTTTTCCATATGAATATCACCTTGTTATAAGAAGTATTATACTTAAAAATTACATTAGGAACTGGTATTAAGGCATAAAATGCCAAAGCTGTTGAATCAATAAATCTTAGGCCATTTTATGTCATGAAACATTACATTTCGATAAAATAAAAAAACTTATTATATTTCTCTTATTCAGTCTATTAAGGATTTCAAATTATAAGTAAAATTATTTGTCAACTATGTATACAAACAAAATTTGTTTGCTAGATGTTTAACCATTAGGAGGAGGAGTTCTGAAACTAAACCAACAAAATAGCTGTAGTCAAACGAGATGTTTAAAGCATACTACAGGCACCTTAAGTTACGTGTTTAATCGAAATAAACATACTAACTTATATGATGACAAATAAAATAAACTTCAGCATATCCTAAACAAATGCATGTAAATTTTCTAAAAAATGCTCACGAACCTACAGTTTGATCAGGAATACCAACATCACGTGATGTCCAACGGCAAAATCCACAAGCAAGATAATAAACTTTCTTAGGAACATTCTTTTTGGGGTCATCTGGACTTGGAATTTGAATACTTGTAGCTCTTGTGGACAGTGTATGCATACAGCTTGGACAATCAAAACAATTAGCACACCTGCGTAAGAACATAAATTTTGTGCGTGTAATTACAAATACGCAGTAAGTTGAAATAATCGTGAAAGTATTGCAATTAATAAATTGCCAAAGAAAAAAAAAGAAAAATCATTAATACACAATGGTTTAATGACTCAGTATTCTAAAAATAAAGTTTTTCACATTACCACTACAAAATATTAGCAAGTGGGTACAGGTTTACAGCCAAAAATGTCATTAAGAGTGAGGGTAAACCAACTGACAAAATGATGCATTCTAATCATTATAATTATGAGCATTATATTTGATTAGCTATACTCTTTTATATATGTATTTATTTTCATTTATTTTTAGTTTTGATCCATGTACATAGCTTGTTTGAATCAGAAGTTAATATTAATTTACACAACAGCATAGAAATCACCCATCATTTGTAACAATATACTGAAACACTTCCGTATTTATTTTGCAATAAATTATTACAAAATATTGACAAACTAAAGCTTATTTAGAAGGTCACATGTACATGTGTATTATTTCAAGGTTCAAGCTGTTATAAAACATTTGAATCACTATTAGAATTGGAACTGGGCAATTAACTCAATCAATATAATCAATTACCTACCAGCATTGATTTCAAAGAACAGTAACACATAAAACAATCAATTAACTGAAACTATGAGTAAATAAATTAAAATCACAAAAATAATCTAGTGCTTGCAATTGTTTCAACTATCCAGTAACAAAAAATACAATCAATGTTTACATATAAACTCAAAGCCATCCTTTATAATTCAAACATTAATCAAGCTTTCCTTTAAGCTCCCTTAAATTTACTGCTTCCATAACATTTAAAGGAAACCTATTCCAAAGGCTAACTACCCTCTGATAAAAACAAAACTGTCTTAGCTGAAGATAACTCCTATTCCACCAAAATTTATGTGTCCACGAGTCCTACCATCCTCACCATTAAGTACAGAGACTGAACAACCAGAACATCAAAACATTTTTTTTTCATAATACTGTTATGGTTATTCCCATACAAATTATATTTACAATTCAAATTATGATAACTCCCCTGCAATGCTTTTTGGGTTTCTGTTTGCAGTTATGAAGAAAAAGGCTTTAAAATGGAATCTCTTACAGACAACCACATGAATTAGATGAAATAAGAAACTGTACAGTAAGGTAAAGAATTCAAATGGTTTCAGGTTTTAATTATGGAGGATCTTAATTTCAAGCATACAGATTCTGAAATGGTTGAGACAGACCATGAGGGTGGGTGACATGTTCTTAGAAACTGTTCGGGATTCTTTTTTCACCAACTGGTCAGGGAAACTACTAGGAACATTACTATTTCAGATTTATTGTTAACTTCTAATACACAAATGGTTGAGAGAAAATCATCATAAGTTTAATAAGTTTAAATTGACTGCTATTATGGGAGTCTTAAAGGATTATAAATCAAGAAAGTTGGTCAAACAGGAAATTATGAAATCTAATAAAAGGTATATGAAATTAACATTGGCTGAAAATGCAAAAATTAACAGTAAAGATGTCTTCCAATTATTAAGGGTAAGCAAAATTTTAGGACAGGAATAGGGCCTATGAGAGATGATATAAGAAGGCTCATATCTGATGATTATGAGATGGCTAAGTTATTAAATTCTACTTTTTATTCAATCTTTACTAAAAGATTCAAGCAGTATTCTTTATCCTAAACAGTTACTACATGGAAACAAGATTATCAAATTAGTTCTGAAGAAAACAATGGGAAGAAATAAGATTTTAAATTATTACAGAAGACATATTAAACCCATAAGATACAATTTTTAGCAAATTCATTAAGTGAGGGATGAAGGAGACAGATACCTCTTTGTTTAAGGATAATAAAAATAAGTACATAACCTATCATGAACACCACAAAAATGTTAAACTTTGACTTCAAATGTAATAAAAAACAAAGAGGATGTGAGAATCATTTATCATAGACAATCACTGGGATAATTTAATAACCACATTAACTCTGTACAACTCTGCAACTACCATAGAAAGAACTTTAATGGAAAGATAAAAGGTAAAAAGGAAATTTTAAATAATCAATCTAAAAAGTACATTTTTGAAGATACACTCAAGATACTGAAAAATAAATTATGTGGCAGCATGTGGCCCAAAATAGAAGGCACCATGTAAAGAGAAGGGTAAGAATAAAACAAACCTGATTTTCCAATACAAGATGCTAAAGATGCAAACAAAATAACTTTAGAACAGTATACTTACATTAACAAGATACTAAAAGAAACTAAGGTCTACTCTGAAGACCTAAACAATCCAATTTATCTGACGATGGTATTCAAAGTGAAAATCAAAGTCTTGACAGGGCAAAAATACACTAATCATCTACGTAGAAATGGAAATTTATTGCCTAGGTAAGCTTGTGTGAAACATTTCAAGAATTACGACTGAACTAAAAAGCAGAGGTATGATATAAAAAAATCACACTTATGCTTTAAAAGTTACATAACACAAATGCATAACTTTCTTAAAAATACAAACAGAAGTGTATGATGTTACACACATATATCTTTTAGCTCAAAAATATTTTAGAATTGACATTTTGTAATTGTGCAACATTTATTCAGTGTAATTTGCAGAGAAGAATTTAAAAACTTTGAACATTCCCTTCTGCACAACTGTGAGGAACTTTGAATGTAAACAATGCATTTCCAATTTTTTTCAGAATTTTTGTGCTCATTCCAAAGTACAGGTTTATATTTGCTAACAAACTATATGTATTACTCATTTACAATATAATCATCCATGTCTTGTTTTTAACATGATTTTCTTTCCATGTTAATGACTTTATTATAATAGGTTTAAGTCCCACCCTTTTATGATGTTATATAATATGGTCTGAACAACCACTAATGAAGAACAGCCTTGAAAATAAATATATATAACATTTAAATATATAGAGCAGTTTATAAACCATTTTTATCAATGTAGAGTAAACAAAGTGGTTTGAACATTAATATATATTTTTCTGGGAAGTTGACTAGATGGTGCTCCTGCAGAGATGAACAAAGGAATCTAAAAGGAAACTTAGAAGAATTAGCAACCACAGATATACATATTTTTTATAGTTTATTTCTATCTCTATTATCTTTGTGTAATTTATATCCATTTGAAAGCTACAGAAATTTTCTTCTGTGACAACTTATTGGGTAAACTTAGTTAGATTTAGCAAGTATTGAACACACACAGTTAACTATAGCAAAATAAAGAAGTTGTCTGTGCTAAACTCACAGACCTCCCATAACTGCATAGATCTTTATATTTTGTGAAACATTTAGGTTTTTTTACATACTTGTGATCCCTGGTAGTTGCATATTTCATTCTCTAAATTCAAGAAGATGAAATTCATACAAATACAGGTTAATAAAAAAAGACTGACCAACCAATGTAAATATAGTCATGCAATATTAATGTTACCAGGCAACTGTGTATTTTAATATTATTTAAAGTATAGTGTCTGAAACCAAGCAGTAATCTAAATTTTTAGATAAAATAGGAAACAGTTATTTTGTACATCTTGAACAGAACTGTTAAGAGACAATCCAAGTTGAGTATATACTACACATATAAAAAGTTCAAAACTTTTACCGACACGTACCTGTACAAATACCTTTCATATGGTTTTATTATTTATCTTTCAATTTTATCCAGTTATTTCATCTACAGTATGTGAAGTGCACATGTCATTTCAATAATTCTTTTTCCAATAACAAGAAATAACTAGACTCTAGGACCCCATATATTTACAAACACCTGGGTTCTAATGTCAAAAACTCCTACAGTATATACACTTTCACATCTTAGGGAATCATCTTGTTGAATCCTATAGGAACTGCTCTATGCAACAATTACTTGGTAGGAATAAGTTTTCCTTGTCAGTTTTTTTCCCACTTCCATAAAACATTTTTTTTTAAATCAGTGATTACAGGTTTTACATATAGCAAAATTATAACAAAAATTGCTTACTCTTTTTGTTTTTAGGTGGATTCTCACTTTTGTCCAAACTGTCTGGAATATATGCCTTCTCCTGAAGCAAAATTAAAGAAAAATAGGTACAAAGCTTGATTAATAAGTACATTATCTTGTTGAAGAGGAAAGGTTTTATTTTTTAAAATAATCTTCATGTAATAGAAAAATTGTTCTCAGTTTCTTTTTCTGTTTGGACCAATGCACCATATATTAAATATATATACATGTAGGGCCTCCCATTTTTTATATATTTCTGTGACTATACAGTTCATGTTCATCTGGGTAATTGACAACTTTCTCTTCTGCAGGCAATTTAAAAACAATGTACTTCTTTGATGGTTTGATGATTTTATTGATTGTAAAATTATTAACAAAAAGTTGTGCATCAAACATATCTCATGCAGGCAGTGTAGTTTTTCCAGCTGGGACGAAAAGGACTGGAAAATCTAGACATAGATAAATGATACATATTCTCATAACAAGGAAGCTTGACTAAAAACTAAGAGAATATAAAAGTTGTTTAAAAATTATTTCAACAAATGTAGCCAAAAATCAGACCTAAAGGTCATATCTTTATGAAATTAATGTTTTACTAAATATCATTTTAAGTGTTCTTACTTTCAACATCTGAAATTGTTCTAAAATATGTAGTACATCATCTCATGGACACCAAAATACATAGTTTTGTAATTAATATTCACTTCCAATCAGAGTAAGCTACATACTTAATAAGGCAAACTAAAAATAATCCTAGCTGTCAGTAACTAATCATACATAACTCAGTTACATTTTTACTTATGAAGATTACAATGCATTGTCACATCAGATGGGTATTCTCACTGTTTTAACAATATTTTCAGTTATATTAATAATAATATGATATTTGGCCAGTTAAGAAGATTTTGGTTAGTCTTAAATACATTTATTAAGCTCACAATGCAACAGTCTTTATAATAAAACTATGATAATGAACAATGAATTAAAATTAAACATAATGACATTTGATATACTAAATAGCATAACCAATATTGTTAATGAAAGCAACAATAATTGAATAAATAAATACCTAAAGAACACAAAAACAATACTCATTAAATTCAATATTTTTGAATGTAATTCACTGCAATAATTAAAGTAAGATATGCAAATATGTAACAAGTGGTATTTTTGAACACTAAGCAAAGGTTAAAAAATCACAGTAAGTATAATATGAAGAATAACTAAGTTTAGTGTTCAAAGAAAAACTAAAAATTTTTAAATCTATACTGTTAACACCACTCATATGATGACTTTCTAGTAAACTTAATTTCTTGTATAAATGTAAAGAAATCATGAATGCTCGTTGTAGTAGTATGTTAATAATGAAAAATCACATTCATACTAATAGTCTGAGTAAAAATATTGAAGAGGAATGATATCAATTCAGTATACATATTTAAAATGATCTAATTTACACTTTACATACGTAAAATAAATACCACCTTTCAATAAATAGCTGACATACAACTGTATATACTGTACAAGTACTTAGTAGTACTACTACTAATACTAGATTAGAAAAGAAATCAAATCATAATTTATAAATTATAATCTACCTCATGTGAGACGCAATCTCCACAACGAAGTTTTGAACAATATCTACAAAAGTATACCCTTGTAATGGGACGTTTAGCTTTACAAGTACATAAATATTGTACTTTAGAACTCATAAAAATTTCTGCCATTGCAATTTCTAACTATTACAGATACTTAAATTAAAACAATAACACTCTAAGGCCTATTAAAACTACCAGACATTTACACCCAGAATTATTTTGCACGCAATGACTCACTATGATGACTTCAAGGGGCCGTTGACAAAATTTTATTTATATTTTCTAAAGTTTAGTTATTTTGCAGTACTCTCAGGAATCGGTGCTTAAATACAATTAAGAATGTGTTAAAATTAGTCACAAAAATAAATCTATATTATCGAAAAACTATTGGGTTCTATTGCATAGATTCAAATGTATATTATTATATCCGATTAAAATTCGCAGTTTCCCCTTAGTGGCTCAGTAGCAAGTCTGAAGTCGTGTATTTTTTGCGCTTAACAACAAACAAACTAATTAACAAAATAACGCAGGATACGATATCACTTAGTTATAAAATCAATAATACAAAGTTCTTTAAAACGCGCTTAAATATTAATATTCACAAAATATTGTACACTAAAATTATTTTTAAGTTTATTGATTGAGCTATATGTTTTATTTCACATTCATTAGGTAAAACTACTCAGTCTACTGCCCAGAACAGATGTAATGAACGATGATAGCAACTCTGTGCACATCAGTTAATTTTCAATAATACTGATTAGTCATAAATTTATTGAGCTTAGCAATGATACTCGAATCAAGAATATAGTTTTGATAGTTTGTTTAGGCAGAGTATTCATGATGGGTAAAGTGGAATGGACAACAACTGCCTGTTGTAAAAAGAAAAAACACAAGTGTAGGGGACGGCGTTTTGAAAGTCTTTTGTCTTCAGGTCCTCTGCACTTGTACTTTTTTACAACAGGCAATTGCCGTCAATTCTAGTTTATCAATAAAGAAAATAACTATATTGAAATATGTAGCTTAACAAATGTAAACATATTTCATAGAACTGTTAGTAAGTAACTCTTAAATGTTTTGTTTGTTTAAGCACAAAGCTACATACTAGACCAAAGTAAGCTAATTAGATCAGAATATAAAGATAACTATTCATTAATAAAAGATATATTATATAATAACCCAACTGGAACAACGTCATTTCATAAATAAATTCATTAAATATTAAATCATAACATGTCATATTCAACATACCTTAATCAGTCTTCGGCCAGACATCCTTGGCTTACAGGAGTCATTTGTCTCTTCACCATATTGCATGGAAAAGCTTCCACATACCCTTAAGAATAGCGATCATCCTTTGAACCTCACATGATTAGACTCTTTCAGTAATGTTCTGTTCCATTTCAGTTCCCCTACCCTCCAGAATAACTTCTTAGTATTTAATTTCATGCTACAGAGTGGAATAGTTATCCTCATTCTACTTATAGCAACTTTGCTATAATTTCTTGAGCCCTGCCACAGATTCGAGATAACTTTGTTTCTTTCTTTCAGAGACGTTTTACTGACCTATCGTTTTTGATCATACTAGCCTTTGTTTAGACTCCACGATTAATTTTCCCCACACATATATATACTGTTATAAGTTATACTTTCAATAAATCAACTTAGATGTTTCCTACAGGGAGTTCGTCATTAGAATGATCTTAAGATCTAGAAAACTCATGAAAATTAAAAATCAAGAAGATTATTGGAGAAACAAGGTACAATATATAAATAATCAGTAATAGTTGAGGTAGTTCACTGCTAATTAATAAATGAGCAATCAATGAATTATTAATTTAGTTAGTTCTGTGTCAGTAATAAGTTAGAGACAATTAGGGGGAGAGGGTGCAGGAGGGTCATTTGGACTTGGCCTCAAACTCAAAGGATGCCCCATATTTAGACATTTGTTATTTTTTTGCATTTGTTAAGTTTCTAGACTTGTTTTTATGCACAGAAAAGGGCTAGAAAAGCATTTATTAAATCTTAAATAATGTTAATAATATATGTTAAATAAAAAATATTCAAATTATGTTCCACATTTTTTTGTCTTATTTTGTTTGATGTGTTATCAGTTTTTATTTTTATTATAGCCAGGGGCCTCAAAAGATAGAAGTGGCCCAGGCCTCTATGAACCTCTGAGAGCGCCTGGTAAGAGTTACTGTGTTTATTAGAGCAAAAATTCTGTAAGTAAGTTTATTTGCGAGTTACACTTACCATTAGTCACGCAGTTTATATTGAAGCTTTGTTTGAACTTAAGCCTACTGTTACGTCTCCGTTCGCTAGTTAATTTTCCGTAAATTCGTTCCGACGAAACTTTAGCGACACAAGTCCTTTCTTAAATAAAACTGGTTTATTCTTTCCGAATACAACTTTACGATACACTTAATTTCAACA